CAAAAGAAGTAGAGGAAAATGACAATAGTAAGGATCAGGAAAGAAAAAGCAGCAGTTCCCTGTTGTAGATCAGGCACAGTTATGAGCGTGACATTGATGAATCAGCCCATTTACAATTCTACTGTGCATGAACGAGAAATGTCTCCCCTTTGGGAATGGCCTAAAGACACTACAGTCAGTGGCACTGCCCCGGGGGGTATAAATGTCTCTTTTTAAAAAATAGGGAAGAGTGTTGGACAAGACAAATTCTTAAAAATAAACAATTCCCTTTAAAAAAAGACAGGTATTCATGGTGACAAACAGTTCTTCTTCTTCCTCGTTCTCGACGACAGCAGCTAGGCAGTCAGCCCTATGTCGTGCACAAACTGTGCAGTCCGCTTCGAAGCTGAGAGACTGCCATAGAGCTTTCTCTCAAGAGGAGTCACATTCTGCCACGTCTGTGTACAAAGGGTGGCGTAGCGCGGGCAGTGCTGTAGGATATGGTTGGCATCCTCTTGGTCGTGTCTACATTCACAGATCGCTGACTCTCCCACTTTTAATTTAGTGTGCATATGGTGTTTGAGTCTGTTGTGGCAACAACGAAGTCGATAGATTGTGACCTGGTCTGCTCTATTTAGCATGCAGTAGGGGTCACGTCTGTTGTGATTAGGGATGACGAACAATAAGACCAGACCTTTTGCTAGCCAGGAGGTACTGACGGTGGTGTACAATATTGGAAGACAGACATTTTTGCTGCCTGCATTCTACAAAGCATATTTTTTGCCAAACAATATAATCAGATCTGAGTGGAACTGTAGATAAGAGGAATACATTTCCTCTGTTATATATATATACAAGAGCCTATCTAAACCTAATACAGTTAATCCGAAAACAGCTGAAAACCGAAAGAAATTTGAGCAACCTCTCTGACCCGAAAAAGCATGGCTAAACTTTTTAAAATCCCAGTCTCGAAGCTTTCAAGTTAAGTTACCATACCATTGAGTGTGTATCTAGCTTACGATTATTATTGTTTATATTGCTGCTCATTTATATTATGCATGTGATTGTAAGCCCACGTGTGTGTGCATGTGTGTGTGTGTGTGTGTGAGTGTGTGTGTGTGTGTGTGTGCATGTGTGTGTGTGTGAGTGTGTGTGT